CAGCAGGAAAATCTGATTTCTTTAAGATATACTTTGCTCCAAGCCCCTCCCTCCTGGGCAGTGACACAGTGACACAGTGAACTGGTAGTGTTTACACTGGATCCTTAATGGCTCATTAAGGCAGGACCTTCAGCACCTCTGTTCCCAGAAGCTGGGTGCTGAGACTTGCCTGAACTACCCGGGAGGTGAGAAGGGACTTCCCACTTTATTTCCTGGCTCCTGGGTAGCTCACTGGTGGTCGAGGCAGTGGGCAGGACAGGAGATAGTGCAGATGGAGGAGCATTCTCCCCGCCCCTCCCTGGCCACCTGCCTGCTCAGACAGAGGCAGAGGTAGAAGATTCCTGTGTCCAGTTGGTCCCCATCCTCCCCAGCGGAGCCTCTCTCCAGAGTTAGGGAGGCCAGGAGTGATCAGCGGGACCCAGTGAGAACAAGCCCGACTCAGCCCCCACTCACCTCTCTGTTCCTCTCTCTTTTTCTGTTTCAGTCTGGGAGAGCGAAACCATCGGTAAGAGGAGCTTTGGTGAGGACAGACCGCTGTCCATCTGTCCATCCAGCAGGAACCCAGCCTCAGGAGATCCAGGCTGGCTGCTGGGATTGGGTGGGGGTGGTTTGAGAGGCTCATCAGGGATCAGGTTCTTCTCTCCCTCCTCTTTCCCCTACCTCCAACGTGGCCATCCTGGAGGTAGGGGGTGGCGGAGATGAGAGACACAGCCCCTGGCCTCAGGGCCCTCACTGACTTGTTGGGTGGATGAGACTCACCAGTGGAGGGGTCAAGCCCACACATGTGCGTAGGTGCTTGTGTGTGTGTGTACATGCAGGCCTGAACTGTTCACAAGTCCATGCAGACACCGACACCCCCGATGGCCGAGAGGCTGGCACATGTGGCAAGGAAGAGAACAGCAGCGGCCTGATGGTGCAGTGCAGGCAGATAGCGAGGAGGTCAGAGGGGGCTGCCCAAAGGAGCTGGCATGGCATCGAGGCCTTGGAAACAGGGTTTTTTTTTTTTGGAGAGATTTTCACTGTAGGGCGCATGCGCTCGCCAAACAGACAGAGACATAGAGACAGAAAGCGAGAAATCACCCTCCAGGGGGGATGGTCACGCCGCAATCCCTTCTCCTCCATTCTCCTCTCGGGATCTTGGGCACGCACGCACACGTGCCCGGCGTGAGTTTTAAGCCACCGGGTCCGGGACACGAACCGTGGTCGACTAGGTGGGAGTCCAGCGACATAGCCATTATGCTAACTGCTGATTCCCGGAAACAGGGTTTTGAAAAGTGGCGGTTCATCATTAGCAAGAGATTTGGCGTGACAAAAGGGTGGTCTGAGGATGATGTTCTAGAGACAGAGATGGAGGGTTGAACACCAGAGAAATCCCAAGCCCTGAGCCTATGTTGACCCCACTGGGCTGGCAGGAGGTCTGCTGGTGGGGGGGTGGCTAGCTGGCCCCAGAGGGGTGTTTGCCAGTTTGTGAAAAGACCCAGTCATCCTTCTCCATTTTCTCCCATTCCTTTCCACCCTCCCCACAATGCCCATTTCCATTTCCTGTGGTGGCGAGGGTGGCAGGGGATGAGTCATGGACCATCCTAAGCAGCACAGAGAAACCCCAGGAGATTGGTGCTAGAAGGTGCCTGGCCCTCAACCCTCCTGTCCCTCCAGTCCCTCCAGGCCAGCCTTGCCCTCGCAGGGTAGAGATGCACAGTGGCTAGCTGGGGCAAGGGGACTGACCAGGCGTGCTGACACGTGCCCTCATCTGTGTTTTGCAGGGGAGTTGGATTCTGCTGACCGTAGCTCCTTGGATCTCTCGGGTAAGGAGATGGGCTGGCTAGGGCAGGGCGTGCAAGGGGATGTCTGCTGACCTGTGAGCATTAGGCTCTCCTTCCCTGGCCTGGGTTTGGGTGGGGGAGGATTGAGAGGCTCATGGGGGGGGGGTCGCGTTCTTCCATCCTTCCCCTCGGTGGCTGTGTGATCTTTTGCGGGTCCCTTTTCTTCTCTGATAAAGCTACTGGCTGTCTTTATGGGAAATTGCTCTTCAGTGCACAGACGGAATATTGTGTGTACAATTTTTGGAGGAGCCACAGATCTCTTGAAGCTCTTTGCAGACTCCACATGAAGAGCTCCTGGATTAAATGGCTCTTGTTAGTTTCCAAGCTCAACTCATAGAACGCACTTAGAACACACTTAGTTCTCACACTTAGCCGTGCATCACAGCCAGCTGGTGGGCTTGTGGAAAACACAGATTCCTGGTCCCGCCCCCAGAGTGAGTAGTTGGCCTGGGGTGTGGCCTCGCAGGGTGCATTTCTAGCCGGTCTCCCAGGTAATGCTGGTGGGCTGATCTGGGGAGGGTGCCCACTTCGGGAACCATTGCCCTAAAATTCTGTGCCCCCATGAAGTCGCTGGGGCGAAACGGCCTGGCGAAGCAGGCTCAGTAGTCACTGCGGGGTTTTGACAGTCTGGAGAGCACTCCATCTCCGGGAGATTTCCATCTGAACAATGGAGTGGCACATTCACGGAACCGTTCTGAACAAACAGGTTTATGCTCCTCTGAGCCCACACTGTGTTATAAAAAGAAAAAAAAAGAGAAAAGGAAAATAAAAGAAAGGAAATGGTTTTTCTTCTAGGACTTTTTTATTTTTTTAAATTGTTTTTCGAAGCAGCTTCCCTTTCCTCTTCCCACCACTCTGATGTGGGCAAGCAGAGAGGATGTGAGGCCTGGGATAGAGAAGGGACTTGGCCAAGGCAATGGGCTCCCCCCCGGGATCTTCAAATGTTTCAAAAGAAGCGTGCAAGGCACTTGGGAGGAATTGGCCAGTAGCAGTCTGACACAGATTTGCTGAAAGAAGGGATGGTTTGGCATTGACTGTGGGACAGAATTAAGGGTTTTTTTTTTTGCTCTTCCCAGGCCTGCCAAACTTCCTCCTTAGCCTGGGTCATAGAACTTGGCATTGGAGAAGTGATGGAGACCAGGGTCCCACCCTGAGTAGAATTCTCCTTTCTGGCAGGGTCAACCACTCTGCCGGCTCCCTAAGGCCCAGAGTGTTTCTTGCTCTCTTAGCTACAGAGCACAGGCCTTAGATTTCCCAACTCCGCTGGGCGAGGACACAGGCTGCAGGGGAAGAAGGGTCTCTTCTCTCACCTCTGCCTCCCGCCACACATCTCCCCTGGCCCACTGCCTTCCTCACCGTCTTCCCAAGCTCTGCAGAGTCAGCCTTGGCTGTGGAGGGGAGAACTGTGCCAGCAGTACGGACCCTAGAGCCTCTTTTCTGCCAGTGTCTTATGTTATGCAGGCTTCTGGTCCTTGAATCCTGTGAGGACAGGAACTATGCCAGGCATCCTGATACGTAAGATAAACTCCCAGGGTGCCAGTCTGGACACAGGTGTCAGTCTGGAGCCACACACAGGAGCTGGGCTGTGGGGAAAGGAAGCTACTGGCTTTCTTCCCTCTGCTGGACATCAGGGTAGGAGGAGAGAATGAACCAAGCCTTTCTTAAAGGCTAAAACAGCCCAGGCAGGATGAAAATCTGCCTGGACCCTACTCTGCAGCCAGTAGATAACTTGAAGTAGCCACGACTGACACCACCACAAAGGCCTTTAAAGAGAATGAAAAGAGGACCAGCATATGGCATAATTGTTGTGTCACTGGACTCCCACATAGTTGACCGTGGTTTGAGTCCTGGACTTGGCAGCTTAAACTCATGCTGGGTGCATGTGTATGCGTGTCCAAGATCTGGAAAGGAGAATAGAGAAGGGATTATGGTGTGGCCATCCCCCCTTGGGGTGATTTCTTGCGTTCTGTCTCTCTGGTAGCAAAAATCTCTCCTTTTTTTTTTTTGAAAAAAAAAAAAAGAGAGAGAGAATGAAAGAGAAAAGGTATGTGTGTGACAGGAAACAGACCCCCAAGTCCTGAAATGCAAAAATAAAACAACAACAGCAATAAAATCTGACTGTGTATCTTGACAAGATGCAGCACTAGGTTATCAGAGGTTAAGCAAGTATGTGTCCCAGAGGTGCAGGGGTGCTGCAGCTGCTGGGAGGCCAGAACACCCAGAGTGTGCATCCCCTACATCTGTGTTCCGCAAGTATGCCGAGAAGCCGCCTCACAGTTGCCGCAGGATGTTCCTGGACGGCCTGGATCTTCTGGACGAGAATGCTTGGGAATGGGGGATCAGTCTCCCGGATGTTCTTTTCCAACTTTGATATCTGAGAAGTGCCGATTAAGGACCTGGGGAGGGACCGAAGCATTTTCCTGAGCATTTGGGAATGTTCCAGAAGGAAGGGATACAGGGCTGCTGGATTCAGTCCCTTCACCCTTGATTGGGAGATCAGGTTGTCCTTCCTCATCCCTCCCTGTCCCCCTCACTCCCCAGCATCTTCAGTAAAGCTGAGCTCTAGGCCATCAGCAGTCCCCAATTACTCGAACCTTCTGTCTCCATCCTTCCTGGTTGGGCCTATGGGTTTCCAGGAATTCCCACTGAAGAAGCAGTCTTTGCATAAGAAGTCGGGGCTCTCATGAATCCTTTCCATGCCTCTGAGTTTTGCCTTCACTGCAGACATGGGAGTGGTGAGCCGGAACTGCACAGAGGACGGCTGGTCGGAGCCCTTCCCTCACTACTTTGATGCTTGTGGCTTCGATGAATATGAGTATGAGAACGGGGACCAGGTGAGTCTCTGCAGCATGCCCTCAGAGGTGGCAAGGTGGGGCCGAGGAAACTCAGGTCTCTAGGTAGCATGTGTGAGCACCTCCAGGGAACCCAAGCCAGATGCTTGGAGGCGGGACCTTCATCCACAGGGCTGACGAACAGCTGGCGTGCTGCCTGAATCCCCCAGAGCCGTATATGTCCCCACCACCCTGCTACTCTCCAGGACACCGACTTTCCTATGAGCCAGAAACTCTGGGACTAGTGCCTAGCCCAGCACAGGTTGGGGGCTTCCTGGAACTTCTGCAGGCTAAGGCTACTGTCTGTTCTGATGGGTCAGCAGCCCTCTTGCCTTCGAATCAGCCCTTATTGAGTACCTGCAGAACGCTGCTGTGCAGAGTAGAGTAAGCCGCTTAGCTGGGGCAGGGGGCAGTGGGGTGAGAGCAGGCCTGGGGGGCTGGGTGCAGATCTGAGGGAGCTGACAGGGCCGGCCCACGTGGATCCCTGTATATCCTGTGCACTATTCCAGGACTATTACTACCTGTCGGTGAAGGCCCTCTACACGGTTGGCTACAGTACATCCCTTGTCACCCTCACCACTGCCATGGTCATCCTCTGTCGCTTCCGGTGAGACCCCAGCAGCTCATCTCTGCCCAGACCGATGGGCTCAGAGGCCTGGTTCCATCTCCTCTACCTCCCTCCTACCCCTGGATGTCAGTCCTGGAAGGCCCCTTGGAAGGCATTTTTCCCACCCCCTAGTAGGGCACATGGAAAACCACTTCAGAGAGGTCAGCCAGCTTGCCCAGGACCACACAGCCAGGCAGAAGCTGGGCAGGAGCCTCCCTCACTTGTATCTTCCTGGCCTATAGGGAGCGGTCACAGCAGAGAGAAGTCTAGCCACGTGGAGTAGGGAGCTGGGGAGTCAGAGAGGATTGAAAAGGGTGGGATGGAAGGGCTGGCCTGGTGGGGGGGCCCTTGAGACAAAGCCATGGGGTTTTCCCAGGAGCAGACTCAGAGTGGAGGGTGGGAGAGGTGTGGAGGCTCACGGTGTCTTCTCTCGGCCGTGGTGTAGGAAGCTGCACTGCACTCGCAACTTCATCCACATGAACCTGTTCGTGTCGTTCATGCTGAGGGCCATCTCGGTCTTCATCAAGGACTGGATCCTGTACGCAGAGCAGGACAGCAACCACTGCTCCATCTCCACCGTGAGTGAGCTGCGCGGGACCCTCCCCGCCTGACACCCGCAGCTGGAGTGGGCGCCTGCAGGGGAAGGCATGGCCGGTTACTGTGGAAGTCCAGGCATCGCCACAAAGTTGCAGGGAGCCAAAGTACAGTGCCACTTCCAGACAAAATTCTTCAGTCTTCTGGCCTGGGGGTTGTACCTGATAGAGCAGTTGAGGGTGGTCAAGTGGGAAAGCCAAGTCCCACTTGACTGAGGAGGAAACTGAGGCTCAGAGGGGGGCTTGCCCAGACTCTGGTCATTTAACTAGCCCATGGCAGAGTCCAGATGCCGATTGACTGGGAGTCTTTCCAGACATACCCCCACCCCACCAAAGTCTCAGGCCTCTGGAGGAGGTAGTCTGCAGGAAGCTGGCTTTGATGGATAGGATGGAAAGAAGAAGAGTCTTGACTGGGGCCTTGACTGGGAGGGTAAGCTGAGGAGTCTGAGATGAGGTTCCTGGGAGCTGGGGTTTGTGTTCACTCACTTGTGGAGTGTCCAGACTCTTTTTCCCAAGGAGCCTCCTGCAGAGGTCTCTAGCTGCTTCTCCCCCTGCTCATTCTTTCAAGGAAGCTGGGCAAGGGGTGGGGAAGAGGGGGTGTGGTTATCTGAGGTGGGGGAAGGACTCTGCACCTACCCGCCTGTGCTCCTCCCACCTGCCTATCCTCCTCTCTCCCTTTCCTTATCCTCAGCCTGCAGCTCTGTCCCGTGGGTGGCTTTGATTCACAGTTGCCGGGTGTTGCAGTTTTCAGCTCTTCCATCTTGGAGTGTTTACTCTCTTAAATCCCTGGGATGTGTGAGCACGAGCCTGTCAGAGCTGAAGGGCCTTGGTCCCTCCAAGCTGGTTTTGCAGGGTTCCCTCTGAGGCAGGGGAGGGTGGCTTACGCTTCCCTGGCTCTGGCGGCTGTCCCCACAGGTGGAGTGCAAGGCTGTCATGGTGTTTTTCCACTACTGCGTTGTGTCCAACTACTTCTGGCTGTTCATTGAGGGCCTGTACCTCTTCACCCTGCTGGTGGAGACCTTCTTCCCCGAGAGGAGATACTTCTACTGGTACACCATCATTGGCTGGGGTAGGTCGCTGCCTGGGGCCTCACGGCTAGGTGCTTCCTTGGGCTCTCCTCAGGTGAGGCGGCAGCTCTGCCCTGCCATGCCCTGCCCTGCCCTAGGCCGACAGCAGACTGTGGGTCCTCAGACCCTTTCTAGAAGAGTTTAGAGACAGACCCCCAGGAGGTCTGCAGTGAGGGACAGTCCAAGTCCCTAGGAACTCCAGGAGCCCCAGATCTGTGGGGACTCTGGGTATGCTGGTTCCCTGTCTCACAGGCCTCCTTTCCTTGCCTTCTCTCCCAGGGACCCCGACTGTGTGTGTGACAGTGTGGGCGACGCTGAGGCTCTACTTCGATGACACAGGGTGAGTACACGCCTGAGTGACGGGGCCAGAGCACATATTTTCACGGATGAGTTCTCAGTGGCCACCCTGACTTCACATGAACTCCGCTTGACAGCCATACAATGCCCGGCCCACACTGAAGCACAGCCCTGGGTGCCTCCGGCCCAGAGCCCATGGGTCCCATCCAGAAGCCCACTGGTGATTCTGACTCTGGGGTTGTAGTCCTTGCCTTGATGTGGGAGCGGCGGGAAGGATGGAGGCTGGGATGAAGGGCATTTCAGAACCAGGGCTCAGGGCTGCAGCCCACTGGAGAGCTCTCTTCTGGCTAATCCCCCTTCTCAGGAAGCTTCAAGGGTGGAAAGGGACAGACACCCAGCTAGGTGGAGCGAAGGCTTACAGGTGTCCAGGCCAGCCTCTGGACGTGACCTCTTTTGTATCTGTCTTTCAGCTGCTGGGAAATGAACGATAGCACAGCTCTGTGGTGGGTGATCAAAGGCCCCGTGGTTGGCTCTATAATGGTGAGTGTCCTTGGCATGAAGAGACAGGGGCCTGGGTGGAAAGGCATGAGGGGAATGAAAACGTAAGGTTACCCCACAAACCGACCTCCTTCGTGATGGCCGTATTAGACTATGTAACAAGGATGCACAAATTATTTACCTGTTCCCCTAGTGTTGGGCATTTTTATTGCATTTTGCATCATTATGAAAAATATTATGGGAACCAGCAGTTAGCGTAATGGCTATGTCGCTGGACTCCCACGTAGTCAACCGCAGTTCGCATCCCGGACCTGGTGGCTTAAAACTCATGCCGGGTGTGTGTGCGTGCATGCCCAAGATCCCGAGAGGAGAATGGAGGAGAAAGGATTGCGGTGTGACCATCCCCCCTGGGGGGTGATTTCTCGCTTTCTGTCTCTATGTCTCTCTCTGTCTGTCTGGCGAGTGCACGCGCCCTATAGTGAAAATCTCTCCAAAAAAAAAAAAAAAGAAAAATGTTATTAGGAATAGTTTGGGGTTTAATTTAGAGCATGTGCAAATGTCTCCAGAATAAAGAGGAAAGAAGTGGAACTGCTGGCTTGGAAGGGTGTACGTTTATAATTTTAGATCTCCAAAGGTCTTGCAAAATACTCTTAACAATTTACACCTGCTCAAGAAGGACAGCTCCTTTTCCCATATCATTGTACTTGTAATACCAGTCATTAAAATGTTGGACAGTCTTATGAGCACCGTCATTGTTTTTATGCATATTTCTCTAGATTATTAATAAAACTGAGCATTTTTTTCCTGAACTTTTATTGACACTTTGTTTTTACTCTGGATATTTCTGTTTATTTCTTTTGCCCATTTTTCTAGCAAATGGTCTTTCTTACTGTTTGAAGGATATAGCACTTCCTTTGTAATATACGTTGAGTTTGTTTTCAGGACTGCTTAAGTTTTATACAGACAAATAGGGCCTTATTTCTTGGTTATGGAAGTCTTTCCCAACCTAAGCTATCAAAATATTCTTCATTGTTGGGACCAGCAGTTATAATGGCTATGTCTCTGGACTCCCATGTAGTCGACCATGGTTCGCGTCCTGGACCCGGTGGCTTAAACTCACACCGGGCGCTTGTGCATGCATGCCCAAGATCCTGAGAGGAGAATGGAGGAGAAGGGATTGCGACGTGGCCATCCCCCCCAGGGGGTGATTTCTCACTTTCTGTCTCTCTGTCTCTCTCTGTCTGTCTGGCGAGCGCACGCGCCCTATAGCAAAAACTTCTCAAAAAAAAAAATTCTTCATTATCTTGTAACGCTTTTCTGGATTGACTACTGCACGTACATCATTGTTCCAGCTGCAATTTTACTTTTTGTCTGAAATGATGTTTAATTTTATCAAATGTAATTATTCTTATTTTTTCAGTCAGAGAATACACACACAGGAGAGAGAAAGAGCGAGAGAAACACCCGACAGAGCCTAGGCATGCCACAATCCTTTTTCCTCTTTTCCTCCAGCTTATCCAGGATCCTGGGCTCTCACACACGTGCCAAGTTTGCTTTTCAAGCTGCTGTGGCTGAGTTTGAACTGTGGTTGGCCCTGTGGGATCTGGCTCCCTCTACATAGCACTTAACTGCTGTGCTATGGGGCTGGTCCTGATTTAATTTCTTTTTTTTTAATGAATGGATATTACACTTTTTATTTCTTTTTATTGAATCCTTTCTCCATTATGCTGAAAGATTATTTTATCATAAATACTCAATATACTGCTCCTTGGCTCCAGACTTCCCACTCCATGTTATTAATCTATTTGTCTATTCCCATGGCAGATTAATTGGTGTGTGAATTTCCCCCGCATTCTTCTTTTCTCTTTTTTTTCCCCAAATTCTCTTGCACATTTACTCAAAAAAGTGGACTGTTGAATACCCTTGTTAAATTGCAGGGAAAAAAAGGCTGGTTGAGAATCATTTTGAATTTCGACGCTACTTTGGACAATTGATTTTCTTAAAAGAGTGAGACTTTCCAGGAACGTGGCATAGTTCTCCCTGAATTCCATCCGTCTCATGGGTTGTTGTACAATTTTTTAGTTTTCTTCTTTATTCCTGTTACATTTACTTTCTTAGTGTTTTCTGGCTTGAGCTTCTTTGGGGCCTAGGAGTCACTCTTTCAATCTGTTTTTTAATGGGTTTCTACTAATGTATAGTGAAGCTATAGGTTTTTGTGTTTTTTTTTTTTTTCCCTTTGCTTAGGTTCTTGTAATTCTTTTATTAATGCTCCTCTCTTTTTGGCTGGTTGTCATGGGTTTTCTAGGTAGAAAATTATATAATCTGCAAATGGAAAGAATTTTTGCTTTACTTTGTCAATATTTATAGCTTTTATTCCTTGTTTTAGTAGAAGATGATATTTGCTCTAGCTTTGGCTGTTACCCGTCATTGAATTAGGGAAATTTCTTTTCCTGGCTTGTTTTTTGTTGTTGTTGTTGTGGACAGAAGGTATGTGTATGCTCCAGAGAGTGAGAAAGAGAGAGAGAGAGAAAGAGGAAGAGGGAGAAAGAGAGAAAGCATCCCCTCAATGGGGTATTGTCATGGCCCAATCCCTTCTCCTTTATTTCCCTATGCTGTTGGGATTTTGGGGCACACTTGCATACTAGTCTGATGTGTTTTTCAGGCTGTCCGGGCCAGGATTCAAGCTATAGTCGGCCATGTCAGATCTGACTTTTTTTTTTTTTTTTTTGCTATAGGGCGTGTGCACTTGCCAGAAAGACAGAGAGAGACAGAGAGACAGAAAGCGAGAAATCCCCCCCCTCCCAGGGGATGGGCACGCCACAATCCTTTCTCCTCCTTTCTCCTCTTGGGATCTTGTGCACGCACACACACGTGCCTGCTGTGAGTTTAAGCCACTGGGTCCGGGACTCGAACTGTGGTCAACTACATGGGAATCCAGCGACATAACCATTACGCTAACTGCTGGTCCCAGATGTGACTCTCTTAAGCACTAGGACATGGGCTGGGGCCCTGGCTTGTTTTTGTTGTTGTTCTTCTGCTTTTCAAAAATTTGCTACAGGACCTGTGTACTCACTGGAGAGAGAGACAGAGGTGGAAGGGGGTAAGAAACATACCCCACCCAAGGGACATAGCCACACCACAGTTCCTTTTCCTCCATTCTCCTGTTGGGATTTTTGGGCACGCACATACGAGCACTCGGCTTGTTTCTTAAGCCACGAGTCTTTGACTTGAACCAGAGTTGACCATGTGGGATCCAGCCACCATAACCACCACACCATCTGCTGGTTTGTTTTTTAAATCAAGAATGGGTGTTGAATTTTTTCAGGTTTTTTGGGGGAGACATTAATTACAGTGACCATTTCTTTAATGATGGACATTTTTATTATTCCAGTTTTTCTCCATTATAAACAAGGCTACAAGGAACATATTCATGCAGTCTTGGAGCATGTATGAATGTCTTTTATTATGTTAGAATAAATCTCTAGGAGGAGAATTTCTGGGACAAAGAGTGTGTGCACTTACCGTTTTCATGGATATCAAATTGCCCTATACGAACAAGGTAGAAGAGTTCTAGTTTCTGATACTCTTCACGTCTTTGTTACTTTTCTACAAGCTGAGTCTCCCTTATTTGAAAGGCTCAGGACCAGAAGTGTTTGGATTTGGGATATTTTTTGGATTTAGAAATATTTGCATATACATAATGAGATGTCTTGGGGTGGAACTCAAGTTTAAATATGGAATTCATTGAAGTTCCATATATACCTAATACTTACAGGCTGAAGGTAATTTTATGAATTTTTTTGGCATTATAGAATTTTGATTACAACCTCTCATGTGAGATCAGGTGTGGAATTTTTCATTCGTGACATCATGTTGGCACTCCAAAAGTTTTAAAATTGGAGGCATTTTGGATCCCTAATTTCTAGGTTAGGGATGCTCGACCTGTATTATTGAACATTGCCAGTTTATGGGGGATAATGGAAGCTTATTATTTTAATCTATTATCATAACAAATATTAGATTTTTTTTTTTTGCATCCTTGGGATACAACCTTTTGGCCATGATCTGTTCCTTTCGTTTGTTAATATTCTGTTTGAAGTTTTCACATCATTTTTCATACATTCATATTGTGTGTGTATGTGTGTGTGTGTTTTCTGTCTCCCTCTGCTGTGGGTAGCTGGATTTTTATCTGCTTTGAAACAATTAAGTAGCATGTAAATGAAATCTTCCTTAAAGGTATTCTGAAACTGGTCCATAAAATAAGATGGGGCTGTGACCTGCAGATGGCATAATGGTTATGTTGCTGGACTCCCATGTAGTTGATTGTGGTTTGAGTCCTGGACCCGGTGACTTAAAACTCATGCTGGGTGCGTGTGTATGTGTGCCCAAAATCCCGAGAAGAGAATAGAGGAGAAGGGATTGCAGTGTGGCCGTCCTCCCTAGGGGGTGATTTCTCGCTTTCTGTCTCTCTGTCTCCTGTGAGTACACGTGCCCTATAGCAAAAATGTTTCTCTAAAGAAGAAGACATAAATTAGCTGGGCCTGGTACCTTTTAATGCATACATTTATTTTTCTTTCTTTCTTTTTGTAACTGTTCCGTCGAGATTTTGTTGCATCGGCCTCCTGAGTAGTTGATACTATAGGTGTATGCCACCACTATGCACAGCTGTTAGGATGGACCAGGAATTAAACGTGGGTCTCTCATGTGGTCGGACCTAATAAATACTTCATTGACTGCTTTTAAGGTTTGTTTTTTATTTTTTATTTTTGAGAGGTTTTTGCTATAAGGCGTGTGCGCTCGCCAGAAAGACAGAGAGAGACAGAGAGACAGAAAGCAAGAAATCACCCCCCAGGGAGGATGGCCACGCCGCAATCCCTTCTCCTCCATTCTCCTCTCGGGATCTTGGGCACGCATGCACACATGCCCGGCATGAGTTTAAGCTACCGGGTCCGGGACTCAAACTGCGGTCGGCTACATGGGAGTTCAGAGACATAAGCCATTACGTTAACTGCTGGTCCCTTAAAATTTCTTTTGAGACTAGGGCTCTATTCAGTTTTCCCCATCTTCTTAAGCTGATTTTGTTAACTTCAATTTTCCCATTTTGTTTAATTTTCTCCTATGTTGTAAAATACTTTGAACATGTTGTCTTGTCCTCTTTCTCGTCTCTGAGTTTAATTGTGCTTTCTCCGTTTTGATCGACTGACATGTGCAGTTGTCAGTACTTACTGAGCTCAATTCCAGGCACCGATTAGACACTGGGCATGTAGTGGAGGGTAAGACTGACTGACTTGTCCTCCTGAAGCAGGCTTTATTATTCTCATTGGTCTGTACAAATAAACAAAGCGTGTATTGTAGCCTAGTGGTTAAGGGAGCCAGATTCCACATGGTTGACTGGAGTTTGAATCCCAGCCTCGGGGGCTTGAAAAACATGCTGGGCATCTATGTGTGCCTGTCCCAAATTCTGACAGGATGGAGACATGGATGAGAAGGGATCACAGTGTCGCCACCCTGTTGTGTGTGTGTGTGGGGGTGCCTTTTCCCTTGCTCTTTCTCTCTCTGTCTCTGTCTCTCTCTCTCTCTGTCCCTCTGTTTCTTTCTGGAGAGTTCATGTGCCCTCTGGCAATTAAAAAAAAACACTTTATTTTTATTATCCAGTTTTTTTCCTGTTTGTATTTCCTGTTTTTAGATTGTTATTTTTTTCTTGGATAATTTAAATATGTGTTCATCTTGCTCTAGCTTTGATTTGAATGGTTGTCTCTCAGTATTTCTACAATTTTTTTTTTTTTTTTTTTTTGCCATAGGCCACATGTACTTGTGCACTCAAGAGAGACAGTAAGAGGGAAAGTGAGAAATCACCTTCCCGGGGGAATGGCCATGCCACTATCCCTTCTCCATTCTCCCCCTGGGATTTTGGGCACATAGGCACACACACCCAGCATCATTTTTAAACCTCTGGGTCTGGGACTCCAACGGTGGTCGGCCATGTAGAAGTCCAGCATCTTAACCACTATGCCACTGCTGGCCCAATGTTTCTTATTCTTTCATGTTAGTTGTAGGCTGTCCATTTTTCTCTGGGGCTGCCTAGGCTGCGTCCCAAAGGTGTCGATGTGTATCCTTCATGGTCCTGATTTCTGTTTCTTTGCTCCGTTTCCTCCTCCATTCCCCCTATGTACATAGCTTCCCATTTTGATTAGAAAGCTTTTGGCCCTGGTCTTCATCTGAGGACAAATAAATGCTGTTCTTGCTATTCCCAGATAGTCTTTTGATTAGTAATGCTTATGGCTGTCTAGTCTACTCTGGTTCCCCATAGTCAGTTACCTGAACTTGTTTTCTACAGAACAGCTGTTACTTCTGCAATAACTTCCTTTTTCTCTCTTTGGAGTTGTAGTTTTTCTGTCATGCTGAGCCTCTCCCCTCCCCCCCTTTTTTTCCAGAAATTGCTCACTCCTCTGGCTCACTCATGAAACTTTTTCCTATTTTCCAGTCTTCTTGTGAACTTTTTCTCCTGTCTCTTTCTTCTTTCATTGATAACTGGGAGGTTGGGGAGATCAAGGGAGAGTTCTTAGGCTGCCACCCTGAAGTAGAAGTCTTGAAGGGATCTGACCAGATGTGGGGAGGGTTCTGTTGGGTAAATAATAGCCTCTCAGAGGCAGGGGTGGAGAAAGTTTTTGCCTAGAATCATTTCCATCTGTGTTTGGTTTGCTCCCCAGGTTAACTTTGTGCTTTTCATTGGCATCATCGTCATCCTTGTGCAGAAACTTCAGTCTCCAGACATGGGAGGCAATGAGTCCAGCATCTACTTGTAAGTACCATTGTGTGGATACCAAGCTATATCTGACCGCCATTTGGGCCCTGCATTCAGGTCACAGGTGGGAGAAGGCCTGGGCATCTCTGATAGGGGCCCTAGCATGGGTGCTTGTGAGATTTCTTTTTTGAGTAGAGAGCTGTTAGAATCTCTTGCATCATTGGAAAAGTCATGACATATTTTTGCATAAATAAATATAGAAAACTACGTCATGACTCTCCCAACAACCTAATAGTTGCCCTCCCAGCCGTCAACCAACTCCTAATCAGCTTGGTCAGGGAAGAGGAAAGTGTGACAGAGCCTGTGTGACACCGGGAAAACCAAGAGGGAAAACGCCATCTTTTTTAGGGTAGTCAGGGTCTTGGTTAGTAGAACTTGGGCTGCCTTTGGGGATTGTGGTCCCGTGGGGAGCTTGTGAACACCACTGGGTACACTGCTGCCTGCTCTGCCCACCGCCAGCCCAGGCTGTGGGAGTTGCACAATCTCTACCAATGAGTCATGTGCACCCACTCACTGGTCTGGGTGTTGTAGGAGAGATTCTCGCTGCTCTGGCTTCCCTCAGGACAGCTCTTCCTCTGTATCTGGTCCTCCTTCCTCAGCTCCCCCCTTCCCAAGTAGAGGAACATCTGGTTTGTTTGGGATCTTTGGGGTTCCAGGGTAGCCTCTTGCTGCTGAGTAGAGTTTCCCCATTTCCATGGCTATCTGATTTCCGAGGTGCATTTTCACAGTCCTGTCCCTCTCTAGCCCAGTCCTCTCCCAGCCCTTGCTCCTGAAATTAGAGCACTTCCACCCACCCTCCTGGCCCTGTGAACAGGGTGATCATCTGGGTGTCGGGGATAGGGACATTTCTGAGGCTACGGGGGAAGGTTGGAGTCTCCTGTGGTTGACTGGAGGGTCTGAGGATGGTTCTGGAGCCCTCTGTTGGTGAGGTGGAAGGAGTAGGTGCAGCTTCCTGAGTTCCTTCAGAAGAGAACTGGTTAGAAGGAGCTGAGTGTTTTCCTGAAGGCACTGGGTGTTTGGTCCTGTCTGCATTAGAACCCCACAGCCTGGGGCCCACTGTCCTAATGGCTGCCTTGTGGACAAGTGGGACAGCAGAGACGCCAGCAGAGGGATTTTCTCTACCTGCTCATAGCACTCCCCAGCTGATAGAGAGAGAGAGAGGAATCGCTCAGAGACCAAATCCTAAAAACTTCTCTGGGAATTCCCTGGGGAGGTCAAACTTACTCTTCATCTCTCTCTCTCTCTGGCCCGTGTACCACCCCTGTGAAATACTATGCCCTGGGGATGGGAGATTAGTACAGGGTCTAGCTTCTTCAGTCATGTTATCTGCCTATACGATGATTATATTTCCTTTGCTGTATATATATATATATATATATATTGCTATTCTTTTGCTATCTTGCTGCCCCATGTTTTTGCTGATCGCTGCTTGTGCATGTAACATTCTGTAGTAGAAAATTCATCAGCTTAAGTCTTGTGCATGTAACATTCTGTAGTAGAAAATTCTTCATCAGCTTAAGTAATTAAGTCTTAGATGCCCCACATGGGAGGCCTGTGGAGCCACCCTCTCCACTTCCCCCTCTGCCCTCGAAGAATCGTTCCTGCCTTTGACTCAAGGATTCACCAGACAGGGCCCTGCTGTTTCCCTCACCTCCTCGTCTAATAATGGAAACCACGTCCCTGTGCCCGGCCTCAGTTTCTTGTACTTGATTGCGGACTGGCTTCTGCACTCACAGTTCTCTCCCACATCGGAAGCCAGCAGGTAGCTGAATCAGCCTCCTTTCTCCTTTGAGTGTAGAAGCTGTGGTCCCTGCCCCTTCCTGGTAGGATCCGTTTCTTCTGAGGTGCCTCAGGACCTCATCTCTGGGGTGCCCTCCTAGCCTGCCCTCACTCTGCCTGTGCAGGAACACACATGGGCTCAGCTTCAGCCTAAATGAGGACACCATGCTAAACCTTGAGCACACGCTGACATCCTGCCCTAAGTGGCTAGATCTCTCAGGTCTGGAGGGAGAGAAACGTGGGCCAGGATTTCGTGTTACCTGCAGGCAATGCTGCTGAGAGCCGCAGAGCCATAGAAACACTTGCAGCTTATTTGCACATAATTGGTGCTCACAGGTAATCTGGTGGGTCAGGTAAGCAGTGGTTAAATCAAATCCCCTTTTAGCAGCTAAGGGAACTGGTGATTAGTGAAGTCACCTGAATCTATTAGGAAGGCGTGATACTGGGACCAGCATTTGGCATAATGGCTATGTTGCTGGACTCTCATGTAGCTGACTGCTGTTCGAGTCCCAGACCCGGTGGCTTAAACTCATGCCGGGCACATGTGTGTGTGTGCCCAAGATCCTGAGAGGAGAATGGAGAAGAAGGAATTGTGGCATGGCCATGCCCCCGGGGGGTGATTTCTCGCTTTCTGTCTTTCTGTCTCTCTCTGTCTTTCTGGTGAGTGCATGCGCCCTATAGCAAAAACCTCTCCTCCCCCCCAAAAAAAGAAAAGAAAGAAAGAAAGGAAAGTGTGATACCAAGCTGCAGTGTAGGCAGGCCCTTCATAGCAAGCTTGACTGCACCACCATCCCCGCCCACCCTTGAAGAATTTACAGCTGGGAAGACGGTGTTCAAGGAGTGTATGGGGACCAGCAGATGGCGTAATGGTTATGTTGCTGGTCTCCCACATGGCTGACTGCAGTTCAGGTCCTGGACCCAGCAGCTTAAAACATAATGGGCCCATGTGTGTGCATTCCCAAAATCCCAAGAGGAGAATGGGGGAGAAGGGATTGCGGCATAGCCATCCATCCTGGGGGTGATTTCTTGCTTTTTGTCTTTCTGGTGAGTGCACATGCCCTATAGCAATAGCTCTCTTAAACCAAAACCAAAACCAAAACCAAATTATGAAATAAGGCTTCCTGGAAGCAGAGTCCGAGTGCCCTGGTGGGCTCCAGCCTTGTATACAAAGTGCCTTCACCCCTAAAGTGCTTGGCAGAGGTCTTGGCTTTGAGCTGGGAGGTATCTTGACTGGGAGAACATTGAGGGAAGGGGAAGGAGGGAGGGCAAGGTTTGGTGGGGGTGGGAGGTTCCAGGGCTGTGGCCAAACCTCCTTGGGCCCTGGAGTTATGTGTTGAGCTGAGAAGCCCCTTCAGATCTGCCCCCCAACAGCTCTCTGGTTTTTTCCTCTGTTTCCAGAACAAATTTAAGCCCGGGAGTCCCCAAGAAAGCCCGAGAGGACCCCCTGCCTGTGCCCTCAGACCAGCATTCACTCCCATTCCTGTAGGTTGGTTCCAGCTGCTCAGATGATAAGGGTTTGTCCTCCGTAGACCGAGACGGCGCTCCTGACCCAGCCTCAAGGACCTGCTGGGGTCTGGGGTCCCTGCAGGGGTACAGCACACTGGGCCACACATTCTTCTCCTGGTGCTCTGGGTGAATGAGTGGCTCCAGTCTGGACGCAGGCCAGAGATGACGTCAGGACTGGGTCCGGCTTAGCACGTGCTCAGGGATGACTTGGTCTGGGACAGGGGTTGGCTTAGCCAGAGGTGGGGTCAGGGTTCAGCCCAGGGCAGGGCAGGGTCAGGCTGCCTTTGCTGGGGCCAGTTTACCTCTGTGATCACCACTTGTTCCTGGGGAGCCTCAGCCCGCCCCCCACCCCTGGAGGGGACTATTGACAACTTTGTGGAAGATAGGCATTGGGAGCTGTGTCTCGGGTTGGGGATGAGGGAGGGAAAACTCGTCTGTACCCACCTCGGGCCCTTTTGGGCCCCACTTGGAGGACAGCAGACTCTTCAAAGGCAAGCTCTGCCCTGGCAGAACCCCAGCCAGAACACGGTAGGTCCAGAGACTTTGCCTAAAGCCAGAGGCTTTTGGTTCACTAGGGGCTCCAGCTTCCACTTTCAGAACGACTCCTCCCCTACCTGGGAGCACCCCATCCTTGCAGCTCCTGTTAGGGTTCAACAGGCAGGGAATTGTTACCCTCATTTGCAGACGGAGAACCTGAGGTCCAAGCAGGAAGTGGCACCACCTAAGGCGAACCAGCAAGTCAGTGTCCAGACAAAGCCTTGATCTCAGGGGCCCCTCCTCTCCAGCTTGGGCTGTTCTGGGCTGGCGGGGCACGGAGACTTGCTGGTCCTCGTGGCGGGAGGAGCTGTGGGCAGGGGTGCTCCCTAGATCTGCCGGGCTGTGCTTCTGGCTGGGGTGCCGGTGTTGGGGGCATGCTGCTTGGGAACTGGGCAGGGTTCTGGGGTGCGCACACTTAGCGTCAGAGGGATCTTGTGAAGTATGTTCTGTGGACACTGAATGCCAAGCACTAATCTGATCACTAAGATCGCAGAGGTGCAGGTGACAGGTGCCACCCACAAAGGGCTCCCGGGAGCGTCTCTGCATCCTGCTGGCATCTCCTGGGGTAGCAGCCCAGGCACCCTGTACCCAGAGGCCACTGTAGAATGCACAGAGGCCACGTGCTGGGTCCTGGGTGACAGATGTGGGGCCAAGGCCTGCCAATGGTACTGATGTTCCTGTGGACATGCAGCAAAGCCTTGTGACTTACAGATGTGGGTATGGTGCTGCCCTGCCCCCTGCTCTTCAGGCAGCCCTCCACCTCACCCCACCCCACTCCTTGCCTGCCCACTGCCCTTCTGAGTTCCTTATCCTCCCTTGGATCCAACTCAGAATTGTTCTCGTTAACCTGGCCAGCCTAGGTCTCTCTTTTCTTCTGATGAAATTCCTTTTCCCTGTCACTAATTACCCGGACTTTTCAGAGCCCCGAGCATCTTCCTTCCTCTTGCCCCTGGCTCTGGTGTCTCTGCCACCACCTTTTCTGTTTCCTCCCAGCAAGCCCCTTTGCACAGTCATTGACGTTCAGGGAAGGGCCATGTTTGGGGAAAGGGCTTTTTCCTCTCTCTCCCGAGGTCCTTCTCACCTGAGAACCCTCCCAGATGTCAGTCTTGCCCTCTACCAAGTAACAGTGAAATCAGAGCAGTCTCCAGAGAAGCCCGGGAGTCTGTGTAGATGTATCCAGGCTCCAGGAAGGGCAGGGACAATGTCGAAGCTCAAGGAAGGGGAGTCTCAAAGGTAGCAGGTGCTGAAGCTTTAGCATTTGGGATGAAGGTTCAAGTCTTGCATGGAAGTGGCAATGGCTGAGGTTCCCAGGCTCCAGGACCTCGGTTTCTATGGTTTTCCTCGGCCCAGGTTGAGGGATCGAGTCCCAGACTATACGGGAGACTAGTCACCCTTTCGATCTGGGAGAGATGGGTATGAAAACAGAACAGGATAGCTTCCATTCCTGAGTAGCCAACTTAGCTTTTTTATTTATCAAGAAAAACATCCTTATTTGAGTCTGGCATTGTGTATGTAAATAAAACAGACCTTTGACATTCATTGAGGACTCGTGAAGAAGCCTTCTCCTCATGCTTTCAAGCTTACGTGTGTGTGGGCATCACCAGGGGATCATGTCATCTGAAACGCAGACTCCGAGGCAGGTCTGGGTCGAGCTGGAGGTTCCGCATTTCTGAGGGTCTGCAAGCCATAGGCCCTTCACAGCCTCCACATGGATCTTTCGTCCCAGCACTGTCCTCGAACTCCCTGCAGAGGTGGGAATGCCCTAGGTCTGCCCTGTTCAGTATGGTAGCCACTAGCCGAAAGTGGCTGTTGGGTCCTTAAAATGTAGCGAGGACAGCTGAGGAAGTGGGTTTTGAATCTGACTCACTGTTACTGAATGTCAATTTAAGTAGCCACCCATAGGTAGTGGCTCTCGTATAGGATTGTGTAGCTCTAAGCTAATGGACAATCCATGCAAGTCGACCTCCTCCGTGTAGGTGCTGACACTGGTGTGGCAGGGGGCTGAGAGAGAGCAAGGTAGAGGGGAAGAGCAGTGGACACCCCTGTCACCTTCACAACCAGGCCCAGAGCTGGCCTGGTTCAGGCTTGGTCTGCTTGCACCAGGCAGCTCTTATGGTCTATGTGCGACAGGGTTGACCCTGCAAGGCTATGCTCGGAGCTGGGAGCCAAATCAAGGCAGCCTCTGGCTCCCTGTGTGAGACCCAGCCCAGGCCCCTCTGTTTATTGTATTTCTTTTATGAGAGAGAGAAAGAGAGAGAGAGAAAGAGAGAGAGAGA